ATGCATTAAAATTAGTGGGTGCAGTTCGGGTATGAGGGCCCCACCACTGGCAGATGGCAGAGCCCCCCAACCCCCTCCCCGCACCCCCAAGGCCCTAATGTAATATGGACTGTGTATATGACTAAGGTGCAAAAAGTGGGTGAGCAGTTGAGGCACGGGCACCCCCCTGCTGGCAGACGGCAGAGCCCCACCTGCCTCAACCCACCTCCTCAGCCATTTGGTGTCATGTGGTGTCTAACATGCAAGTAAAAATTGAGGGGCAGTGTCTCGGCGCACCTCCCCACCGCCCCTCAAGGCCCTAGTGTTGTGTGAAATGTGGTGTTGGGCCCAGGGGAGCAATAAGGGCGTACCAGGAGTGGGGCCCCCCCGGCACCGGGGCCAGATCCCCGACTGGCCCCGATTAGTCCCTATCCCCGACCCCCACAGCCAGCAAGGGCGGCCAAATGGGGTGTTCAGGGGCACCACAGGCAGAAATATAAACTTGAAACTCGAATGTTTAACAACCTGGAACTGTATAGCTTTAAGCTGTAAAACTATATTAGGCTGAAGACTAACTACCAAATAGTACACCAAAATAGTCTAGAACCTAAATTTATTTTGGTTATGATAGCCCACACTACAATGGCATCAAGTGCTTCCATTTAGGCACAAGTGCATCCTTAAGCCATATAAGAAAAAAAGCCTAAAAACACCATATGTAGACTTTCAAAACAAACTATTGAACTCTAAAATAATAAATGGGTAACACTTTACTTGATGGGGCACAAGTAACTTAGTAATTCAATTACTACTGAAGTACAAATCACAAACAAATATAGTAACTGCATGAAATACCGGAACCGTTATGATTGATTAGTGATAAATGAACTATGACATTTTCTGGTTATTTAATACCTTAAGTAAGAGTGTACTGTTTCACTACATTATTTGTGTTCCCTCAAGTAAAATGTTACCAAAAATGTTGAGCTGTTTTCAGCATTCCTTACTTCTGATTTAAGGAGCTTTGTGTATTGAAGGAGAATGTCAACAGTTATTAATCTGGGTTAAACAAAGTTTTCAGTTAACTCCATATGCCATTTGAACAGCATTCCTTGAAGTCATATGACCATATGATGTTACTCATACTCTCTTCCTCTCAGTTCACACTTTATGTTCCTCAATCCCAAGTGTACAATGATGCTTTTTATAGTTAGTCAAAATATAGTTTAAAATGACAAATTTTCAATAGATAACTAGGCTAATTAATGCACATATATGTACATGTTTCATGCAGTATTATTAAGAGAAAAAGGGGATATTGCAAATGAATAATTGAAGTTTTAAAAAATCATTCATATTTTCCTGGGTGTGCTATTTGCTTGCGCTTATTTCTGGAACTGTTCTCTGCCAGTATACTAGTCTGGTTTTCCCCTTTTCTCCCATGATAATGGAATTTTTGTGTGGGTGTTTCAGTTTGGGAAACGATGCAGAAGCAAGCTTTTTCTTACGGAAATGCCGGTTTTCTGAATATTTACTTCAAGGAGGAAGTGCAGCTTTAGTGTTCTTCCTAAATATGTCAGTCAGTTCACATTTTGAGTCAGACATACTCAGTAACTGAATGATAATCACCACACTCACAAATATCTAGATTTACTTATGTTTTATTGTTCTTTTTTAATATTAAGTACATTTTTGCAGATTTTTTACAAGGACTTCAAGACTATTTAAACATACTTTTATAAGAATTTTATTAAGGTCTTCTTGTGTGTCCCAAAATGTGTATGTTACTCCGTGGATTTCATAAAGCTATTGGATGGAATCCATAGCTGGGCAGCAAGCCTAATAGTTTATTTCCAAATATGAAATTTTAAAACTGCACTGAGTTCCAACAATTAAATGCAATTGGGTATATAGGGGGTTTAAGAAAAATCTGATTGTATAGTCAAGGATTGCGAATGGGGATTCAGACAGATGGGGAGGTTTATACTAGACAAGGGTACGAATTTCTATCAGAAACAGAGCCTTTATAGATTTATATTATGTCCACAACCACTACCCCTCCCCCAAAACAACATGGGGTGGTTTGTGGCTCTGTGGGCTAAGAGTCTGCACCCATGAAGGTTATCGGTTTGAATCCAATGGCTCGCAAAGTAATTGTGTCGTGGTAAGGCCTTTGGGCAAAGCCCATAATTTTGAAAAATTCTCCAAGAAAACCTAAAAAATGGCTGACCCTGGGCTTTGACCTTGAATTTTGCCCTCTTACCTGTACAGTACATATCACATTGCATTTATTTAGACAACGCATTTATCTACAGCGATGTACAGCTGAGAAAGCATGATCATCCTTGCTCATGGGCACATTGATAAAACCACAGGATTTGAACTGAAGACCATCTGATGAAGCGTAGAGCCCCACTCCACGCCTAAAAACACATGTAATGGGAAATCCGTATCTCCAGATGTAACACATGCAGCTCTCACATCCTAAGAGCCATGATAGTCAGCTGGGTTGAGATTAGGCTTTGGCTGCAGACCCATCTAATGATTTATACCATCCAGACATTACACTTCATTTTCTGCTATTTTCAAAAGCAACGCTATTCCCATATTTTGACATTCGCCTTCCACTGCATAGAAATATTCTGGATTCCTTAGAGACAGTATTGAGCAAAAACATGAGATTTGTTGGAACTGCTTTGTGTTGGCACAACTTAAATGACAGATTCTATTGGTAGAAAATAAGTTCAATTTTGGCTACATTTTTTCTGGGTAAATTTTCAACTCTTTTTTTGCTTTATAAATATCACAATACTTTTCGCAGCCCAGATGTGCAGCATCTCATATGAGAGAAAAATTGGATATGAGGAACCTATTTCCCACATTATGTGCTTCTACAATCATAAGTCAAGTATCATCCTCATTATTAATCTTAAAAGAGGAATGCCCCCCCCCCCATCTGATGAGCAAAATAGAAAAATCTGAGTTACTGCAGTGTAATTAAAGGGAACTTTGTTGCCTCACAGACAGTATCATTTGTAAAAAATAAAACAAATGATATTTCTGTTTCCATTAGGTATACAAGTTTTTGGGTGACTTTCATTTGTAATATTGTGCTGTACCTGGATGAGACGGGCTGCAGCTGGTTAAGTCTGTTATCTTTTATCACATTCTCAATGGTAGTATCATTAAGTGTAGGGGGTCAATGACAACCTGAATTTTGTCATAAGTCACAAGTACAATGACCTAGTATCTTAGATTTGAGGAAATAAATGTAATTAATCTCAGACCACCCTCATAATCCTGTCCCCAAGAAGGATCTGGGACATGACAAATCGATATATACCCATTATATATATATATATATATATATATATATATATATATATATATAATGGATATATATATAATGGATATATATAATAAATTAGAATATAGGAGAAGGATTTTCCTACAAAAAGAATCAGAAAAAACCAGCGGGAATTACACGAGCTCCCCGGAGTGGGAATTCCCCCCCCAATTCATATTTTGACTGGCTGTCTCCGCGTCCCGTGATCACACGTAGCAGAAGCAGTAGTGCGAGGTGGCTCGCGGCATACTAGGATACTTAGCTTACTAGGAGTCGGAGCTACTTCTTGTCTGTTTTAACCAACACACCAACGATAAGTGCGAACATGGAAAACGTCATGAAGTACATTTGTCTTTTAATGGTAAGTGTGCGCAAAACGTTTTTATTAACTGCATCCCTGATCTTTCTTGCATCATTATATCAAACTATATAAATAAACATAAATTGCATCGCCTATAATAAACCATGTTAGGATATGTTCATCTAAGTTCATTAAAATACATTAAAATCGTTGATATATGTCTGTCTGACGCGTTTATCCACAGTGATTATACTCATATATCACATATATATATATATATATATATATAAATGTACGTAGATGAATGTGGATAGGTTTCACTTTCGGTTTGCGTAGTCTGGTAGGTTAAGGAAGTACAGAATACAATGTCATTTATGTGAAACACCTCGTTGGATATTTGTTTGTTTGTTCATAATTTTATCCTAGAATTGAGCTGATTTAAATGTATACCAGTTTTTCTGCTGATATAGGATGCATTTCATTTGGGTGTAACGTATCTGCATGACGGAGACTTCGGGGCTTTCCACAAATCTGGGTGTATTCCTTATGTACATTGTTGTCTGCAGCAGTCATATGTAATTTCACCTGTGCAATTTAATACCGATGCGCACCCAGATTGAATTATAGTTAAATGCGTTGAATTATGGTCAGTGTTAAATTGTCAACGTTGAAACGGAATTGATTTTTGATCAGATTTTCAATATTGAAAAATTTATGGTGGCAAAACCTTGATTCAATATTGATATAAAGTGATCGATTGAACATCAACGTTGTTTTAACCTTTGTCTGAAATAAAATCAATGTCGTTTCAACATATGTGTGCTATCTGGGCACTACGGTGCACTGTAGACCAGTGGTCGCGAACGTCCAGTCCCAATGAGATAAAGGAAAATGAAAGTGAAAAAATATTTACAGAGTATTCTTTTAATTTTTCTTTAAATTAATTTTAATTTCGTTGTTCATGCAGTGTTTTAGCCCTGTCTTTGCTGAAATTATCTGTGACGATCAAACTCAGTATAAGAAGGATGGAAAATGCTGCAAAATGTGCGAGCCAGGTAATGTTTTAATTATTCTTACTAATATATGTAAGAGTTTCATATTCGGGGTGGACAGAGCTGAATGATTTAAATGCAAAGGTCTGTTTTTTTGGGTCGGGTGAAGGAAGCCAAATGAAACACTGGAGGGTGCATGTCCCTCCCACCCCCTGCTCCCTATGCCTGTCACTCTGGATAAAAGTCTTAGTGTAAGAGGAACATTTTAGTGAGCCTCAAGTTAATTCAGAATTTATACATTTGAATGTCGATAGTTTAAAAATGTATGTTTTGTCTGTCATAAGTGGAAAGTGTGCAGTGGTGTCAAAATACTGAAGAGCTGCGTTTTCCAAGTGATTTATTTTGTCAGAACAAAAAGCCAAGAGAGATGTACAGATGTCGAGTGATTTGACGATGGTGTTCAATTGCCTTTTGTTGCAGGGACATCGATGGCATTAAGTAACTGCCAAAACCCAATCTGTAATCCCTGTGGAAAGGACGGGTACATGGACTCTTACAACAATGAAACAAACTGCCGCAGACAGCCCTACTGTGATGAAAGTCAGTGTATTCTTATATTGTGGTATTACTGTAGCCATCTTGATTTGCTGAGCAGTGATAGCTAATGCTCATATATCTCCGGTTGCTTTTTGTTTTTCACGTGCAGACCTCAACTTCAACGTGTCACTGTCGCCAAGCCCAACCAACTACAGACCCTGCGTGTGCAAGACCGGATACCACTGTTCATCAGCGCAGTGCTTTACATGCTTGAACCACACGGTGTGCAAACCTGGAGAGGGAGTAGTCAGCCAAGGTAAAGGCGTTTGTGAGGTCCACCGGATGTAAATTCAGGGTGTACTCACACTGGTGTGATCGTTAACTGTGCCTGAGCACTGAACTCAGATGCAATTTCACAAACGTGACAGCAAAGGGATCACTTTGGTTTGTAGCAGAGGTGCAGTGTTTACTGAAAATTTGGGCTGACGAGAGTATCCAGGAACAACTGGATGCAACACACAAAAACTCCAATATATTTGGTGAAGTATGGGCCTATTTTCTGCTATATGGGCAGTACAATTAAATGAAAATCACTGTCTTGCATACTCGATAAATTTATGAGGTGTCATCATGCCCAAAACGACTCCAAATAAGCCCCAAAGTAAAAGGACATTAATCTCAAACTCCCTTGTGCTGCGTACCAGTGCTTTTCTTCCTATGCTTTCATCAAAACAAAAAGTCGCACGGTGATGATGAAAGCGTGTTCAGGCCCGGAATGTTAAGGCCAATGTGAATGCAGAACAGTAGGGGAGTGGGGAAGGGAGACAAGTGCTCAGGTACAGTTCAAGGCAACCGGGCCTCGTGTGAGTAGACCCAGACATGTGTTCAGCTGAGAGAAGCTCAGAGTAGTCGGCATCACATTTACAGCCTATGAGGAACTGCAAGAAATTTTAGCCAACAGGTAGTGCTCTCATTGCAGACATTCATGGGTGTTTGTGCCTGCAGGCACTGCCATAGCTGACGTGGTCTGTGGACCCTGCCAATTGGGAACCTTCTCCAGCCAGACATCAGCAGTCGATGCATGCAGACCATGGACAAAGCAAGTATCCCATTAAGTTTGGCTTTCAGTAGCTAAGCCGCATGACTGATAATTATAGTATTGTTCTGATCACTTCTATTGGTCGACCCGCCTGATTTATGAAAGTGGAAATACTTTGCCCCCGGCTCAAGAGCACTTGTAAGAAATGGCTTTGGGCCAGCTTTCTAAAAATGGCTAGTTAAATGGTAATACCTTAAAATGTCACTTGTAAGTGGGCAAAATATGATTGGCCTCTGCTTAGACTTCATTCCCCTGACCGATTTGATACCACTGGGAAATTATAGCTTGTAATCCCATGTAGGATAGCTTTTAACTATAATTCGTAGTATCTTTTTGTTGCAAAATTAAGACTCAAGTTGCTATACTGCTTTCTAACTCTAGATTTGTAGCACTAAATGTACAGTGAAAATCAAGTCATAATGCTGTTTATAACCAACTCGCTCTGAAGATCTTGAGACCTAGAGATATTTACTTCTGCCATATATCCACCCACCATGTATCATTTCACAGTCGACTGCACTCTTTGTCATTTATGATGATTTATGATTTATGACCATTTAGGATCATGGCTGTCTTCTGTTAATATCGCACTTAAAATGTTCCTTCTTAGCACATTGGCTTAAGAAGAACATCACCTGACATTTGAGACCGCTTTAATAAATTGAGTGTAATCTTGTTGTTCATGCTTTTTAGTTGTCCACCTGGGATGTCTGAAAAAGTACCAGGGACCAATATATCAGACAGAGTGTGTGGTGAGTATGTGGATACTATGTTAAAGGGGCAGTTTACCCTAAAACTGAAAATTACATGTTCTACATAGTCTTTAGTGCTATCTGTCCTTCTAGGTTGTTCTGCTGGGAGTTGCCTAGTTTTGGAGATATCAGCCGTAGAAATGTCGGTCTTCTCTCAATTGTACTGGGAGTGAATGGCATCATTTCTGTGGTAATTAAAACGTTACACAAATACATTTGAAGAAAAATTCAACAGCAATGTCTGTTGCTAGAAATCATGAGAAGTTAAATGAAGGAACTTTTGTCTTCTACCAATCTCCACTCACCAATCATATCACTGCGCAGAAGATATCACCGGCATGCTCATGCTCATGCTTGTGTCTTCTGCGCAGTGATACGATTGGTGTGTGGTGTTCAGTAGAAGAAAATAGTTCCTACATTTAACTGCTCACTACAAAGTCGGTGGATTATCTTCAGGGTCGTGATTTCTGGTAAGAGACATTGCTGTTGAACTTTTTAAATGTATTTTTCTGGCACTTTCCTCACCGCAGAAAGAATGCCATTCACTCCCATTATATTCGAAAGAAGCCTAACATTTCTATGGCTCCAAAACTAGGCTATTCCCAGCAGAACAACGGAGATGGATAGATAGCACTAAACCCCTGTATAATATATGTTTTTCAGTTTTACGGTGAACCGCCCCATTAATCTAAATACAAAGGACCAGTATTTATATATTACCAGCTATTCATTAACATAGCTATTCACTGGAAGGGAAGATTGTTTTTAGACAGTTACACTTTTTTCCATCAACACATACGTCTTTTATACCAGTGAGCTCAATCAAGCTCAATGGTCACTGTTTAGCATTGTGCTAACGAATCTCAGTTCCTTTTTCCGAGTATTTAGTTTATCAGTTGGAAATTCATGCATTGCAACATCAGTCTCGCTTTCAAAAAGCAAGGACTGGAGGCAAAAATAACATTTAACAACTTATGTTTAAATGAAACATTGAAGGGTGCTTGTATATTATAATTTATGGTGTGCTATAATGGTTTTAATAAATAGCTGTCTATAAGTCACACTTTCATGCAAGCATAAGAGGGAAACGACCTGGTTCTGACGGTATTCTAAGTTGGTCCACTTGTTGAGAACATGTACACTAGTTTTCCTTTCTTAACTAGTAAACTCTATTCTTTCTGTTTTTCAGAGGACGAAAGGAGGTGGCGATATTTCGTAATCCCTGTTGTTGTCACTGTTTTTTTTGCTGCAGTTTGTTTCATTTTTTATACACTGAAGGGTAACTATATTTTTTTCTACATTCTATCGTTGTCATAATGAGAAACCTGGCAATGGGCCTTCTGAGAGATTCCTAGTTCTCATTTTGTCCAAGATATGTATTTTATTTACATAAGCACACATTGATTATACCAATGTTTTCTTTTTTTGTTGCAGATAAACTAAAGAGACTGCTTTTATGCAGTCAGGTAAGAGAACATTTTTGTTAATTACTTTTTTGTTAGTTCCTTTGGCTTGTATTTAGTGTGGTGTATCTTGACGTAACTCAAATTATTTGATTAAGATTTTGTTTGCACACTCCTCACTTGTGACTTCTGAAGAAATATGTCCAACATGCATTGAATTCTTCTTATTGACATCGAGGTCATTGCTTATTTCATAATATTGATGTTCTAATGTAGGTCACACAATTTTTTGTAAAATATTACAATAAATAAAAATCCCAAATGGCAGCACTGTTTGGCACATTCTCAGTGTGCTGAAGTAATAAAACTGCCAAGCAAAATGATCGTTAGATAATGAGAATAGAGAAGACCCAAGTTACGGAACATTCCGGGTTCCCTTTATGCCGTAGTTCCTAATGATAACTTTGAACAAAAATAGTATGTTGGAATTAAGGGTAATTTAGAGAACTGTGTAGTGTGTGTGTGGCATATTAATTTCACCATTAGCAGAGGTGGAAAGTTCAGATTCAGAAAGTACAAATCCAAGGATTTGTTCCAATCAACCATTCGAGTATAAATCATCACATTTCACAGAATACTGAACTGGTTGGTTGAAACCAAACCTTCATCTGGATTTGTACTTTCTGGACCTGATTTGTACTTTCTGGAGCTGAACTTTGGATTTGTGCTTTCTGATTCTGGAACTTTCTACCTCTGACTATTTGGTTCTTGAGCAAGGTCCTAGAGACCTGCTACCTATTTTCTCACTTGTTTGTCACTTTGGAGAAAAGCATCTGTTTGAAAAAAGTGAATAATAATAATGCCTGTTAGCTTCAGACGCCAGATGGACAGTAAGACAGATGCCAGATCAATAACTGTTAGCTATGATTTAAAATTCAGCTGCCTATGATTCCCTGCTGTCAAAAAAAAGCAGTAAGATAAATGCTTACAACCTGCAGCGACTGAAACATAAGCAAGTTGCAATGCAATGTTGGTGATTCTCACACATTGTCTGTGTTCACCTTAGAAGAAAAAACCTCAAGTAGATCATATCTTGGACCAAAAGGAGCCTAAAAAGAATGCTGAGGAGAATGAATACAACCAAGACCATCTGACAGAAAATAACAACCCATTGGCCCAAGAGGAAGGCAAGGGGGAGCACACGCCCATGATGGAATCGAGTCCCGTGTGAAGCAGCCTGCCTGCTGCCTGGATCTTACCCCGGCGCTGCAGAGATGCCTCCCTTTAAATATGATGTAACAAAGACAAAAGACCATGGGCCCTAATTTAATGATCTGAAGTTCATTTTGGGGCCCAACCCACTTTTACTACTTTAACGGTAGAAAGATAGTTACAGCACCAGGTGCATGGTCCAAAAGGGTTGTTCTTAGTTACGCAATTAGTCATGTTTGGGCCGTAACATGCTATAAACCAATCTGAGTGTCATTTCGCATTTCCTTTAAAAGCCAGTGTGCTCGCACCTTAACCAATCGCCGATATAATGGCAGATTGGCCAGGTAGTACAAAAGAATGCTGCTCTGCCATTTTGTGGCAAATGTAAAAAATGGCCAGATGACTTTTTTTTTGTCATGCGTCATATTGTGTAATAATAATATCTAATAATATTATTTATCTGATAATATTTATCAGGGGCGGTTCTAGGATTAGGCCCATTGGGGGGGGGGGCAGTTTTTAGAACCGCCTATGATATTTATTGCATGATTAATAGAAACTAGGTCGTCTTGCCGAATTTGCTTTTATCACATAGCCTGATCCTTCAGTATGTACTGCTTAGAGCAGCGATGCCCATTCCAGTCCTGGGGGACCTGCCAAGTCGGTCCACGTCTTTGCTCCCTCCCAGCTCCCAGTAGAGCGTACATAGCAGTACATAGTACAGAGAAATTAAAATATTGTGAACATCTTAAAGTAAAAAGCGGGTGATTTTCTGCTCTAACTGATGACCATGTTGTGGGCCGTTTCGTAAAAATGTCACCAAAAAACAGGATGGTTTTAGTTAACTGGTCCAAACTGGTTTTTGGCATTTCCGTTTCTGATTGAACGGTGTTTTATTTTGTTGCCATGTAACTTTAGGTCAGCAAAGAAGTATTTGCATAACATAGCTATGCTGGTCTGGTGATACAGCTATGACGCTCAGACGCAGTAGCTACGGCATGCAGCATTGCTTCCTAGCCACTGCGATTCAGCCCAGCCAAAACAATGGCAGCAATATATTTGCATGCGTTTACTGCGATTCCATGTGTCAGTCTTGGTCTTCAAGGAGCAGAAGTTTGAAAATGAGACAATCTATGTACTGCCATAACATGCACTGTCCACATGGGGGTGCTATATTCCACCTTGAAACCTCGTAGCAAAGCATTACCAACAATGCTTAGGAGATGCCTTTCTGTAAGTGTGGACATAATCATAGTCACAGTCATTTATGTCAATCATGGTTGCTTTTTTATATATACATTTTCATTATATATAGTGCATGTGCATTTGTTGATGTTTTTTGTTGTTGTTCTCAGCATCTCAAAATGTTCAGACATTTTGATGTGCATATTTATACCAATACAAATTTTCATCATTGCTCAGTCCTATGAAATGTACTTCTGTTGCGTAAACTTTGTGTGACTTTAATTTTCTTCTTGTGACAAATACATTATTGATGTGTGCTGCTTTTCACTTTAATATTAAATATTGTAATGATACCAATAAACTATTCTGCTTATGTTAAACTAGAGAAATATCTGTCACTCCTATAAATCTGCATGGTTAGAATAATCACAATAGATTGGGCGCCTTAATTATAATGAGGTAGGCATGTCAACCTAAATGCACAGTGCAGTACATTTAGTGGTGTTCTAATGTATTTGTTATTGATATGACGCATATGTACATGGGTGGACATGCGTATCACCAAGTACATATTTGTGAGGCAGTAGACCTCACAGACTCCAGACTCCCCCCCCCCCCCCCCATGTTTGCAGTGGGCAGGGCGGAGAAGAATAGGCCAGTTTGGCATGCAGAGTTGGGGGGGGGGGCATTAAGGGCCCCTTGCTCGCAGGGGTTTTCTCATTATCCCCGGATTAACAGGGGAATGGACCTTTGAATTTACATGAAAACCTGGGTGATTAGCATGGGGGAGGCTTCTTTCATCTCTCCTGAAACAGCATAGTCTCCCCCAGGCCTAATCCCCTGTTCGGTATGGGCAGAGGACATAGATGCCCCTAGATTCTGTGGGACCACATGCCTTATCCCCTTGCTGAAACTGTACATCAGTAGACTTGACCAACTGACGTGGCGGCGTTCTGTCATGACAAGCGCAGCGATCTGGCCCTCGACAGAGATAGTTTTTCAGTTTATGTTGTAGTTGAATGTCACTTGACAAGACATGTTTGGTTGCGAGGTTAATAGTCTTTGCAAATACTTTGACAGGCAAGGATTTATAGGAGTAGACTGACATGACCAGGTACATCAAAAATCCAAATTTCTTTAAGGGTATACCTGCATTGCAGAGTCTCTTTCACCCGAGCATATCTCATAATCGTCATGGTAACAGAACCACACTGCAACACTGATCAGAAGTAAAAACTGATAAGAGATGGTCTCTGCATCAAGTTTTATCTCAACATCACAAGAAAGATTTAACAGGATTAATTACCTCTCACTAACAAAGAACAGTCAGAGCTGTTAAGCTCTGATAGCTTGAGAAGATTTACCAGTTCAATGTCTGATATGCAAATCCTTTAATGGTAGATATTTGCAAGATCTTAAGAAGATAAGAACCTCACTAAATGGATAACAAAGAGAAATTCGACCACTTGGAATTATTTATATGGGTCCCGTAACAGAATTCCCTACCCAACAGTCCCTCTAAGAGGAAAAAAAAACAGAAACTCAAGCTTCTTATGTTAAATTCTTTTGGATGGAGAATAAAAACAAACTGGGAAAAGAAGTGACACTGAGATTAAAGGAAGGAGATAGAAAAGCATCACAGAGAAAGGTTAATCTTCTCAAAGCAACTTTGAACATAAGCAGCCCTGTATGCTGAAAGGCCAAAAAACATCCAAGACAGAAAAAGATACCATTTATATTTCAGTTCCTATAAAATATCTACATCCAGTCATACCTTAGGTGGTGCTACTGTCCTGTGACCTTTTAGTCTTAAGTCTGGAATTTACGTGCAATAATGACTGTTGGCAATAAGTGGGTAAGTCTGGGCATATCAGTGTTATTATCTGTTTATCTGATATTTTTCCACAAGTTATAGATTATGCAACAAGGAGTTCTAAATAATGCTTATTGTATTCAGGCCAAATTTATCGTAAGAAATCGGATGTTTCATTAAGTGGTATCGTAGAATAGTTAACATTTTACAGTTTTATAGGCTTGGGATAGCCATAGAAAAGTAACTGGTGAGTGCATGGAGTTTCCACGTAAACTAAGGTTAATTTTATTGATTTGGGAATTTCTGAATTCAAAACCTAACCAGGAACATCGCGGACTTCTTTCGGTTAGAAAGTAAATAGGCAGCCCTCTCCCCCATTAACAAGAGTAAAACAAGTTTTACATTTTTTCAGCAATGATTAAAATAACCTCAACATGACAATCTGCATAGAATGAAGAATTTTATTTAAGAAAATATTTTTCCCACATGTCAAGCGACACCTGTTTATAATTTACAGTGGTCACTAAATAGACTATATGTACAAATATTTACACGAACCTGAACGTAGTCGTTCAGAATCTTTGGTTGAAAACCAGACACCGTAAGGGATTCGCGTATATAAAACTTTACATCGCCAAATCCGCATAATTTAGCACAGGAAACTGCGCGATTTCTCCCTTGACACATCAACTCTTCAGGTCGTTGCTGCTGTGTTTCAGGAGATGATGCGCAGAGTAACACATGGGAAAATACTGCCCGTTTCTAGAGGCCCACTCTGCCCACCACCTGTCCGAGCTCCGCTGCTGGCTTTTGCTGCCGTCACACGACTTTCTCCCAATGTCCGAAGTTGCCGTTTCGGCAAGAGACCAGATTTTAGCTTTATGGATGTCACCGCTTTCTTTACATTCCAATTTTGAAGTTTCACAGTCCTTATTTTCTCTCGTCTCGGGAACCTCTTTGCCTCCCTCCTCGATTTTCGGTATAAAAATCCCATCGATCGATCTGGACGCCACATCGGATCCCGCTCCCCCAACCTCGCCCTTTTCATCTATGGTCTGTGGGTCAATTTCATCCTCACCATCCGAGCTCTGCTCCTTAGGCAGGGAACCTTCTCCTTCACTCTCATCTCCTTCTTCCTCTTCTTCATCGGACTTTCCTTTGGACGCCCAGCTGACCCTGTTCTCCTTCTTCAGGCGTCTCCTGGCGTTAGCGAACCAGGTGGACACCTGAGTCAGGCTCATCTTTGTTACGATTGCCAGCATAATCTTCTCGCCCTTGGTAGGATAGGGGTTCTTCAGGTGCTCGTTCAGCCAGGCTTTCAACGCACTGGTGCTCTCACGGGTCGCCACCTTGCCCACCCTACTGGGATCCTCAGCAGCCACCGGGCGGTATGGGGAGTAGAAGGACCCGCTTCGGCCGAGCAGAGCTTGATGATACGAAGAGGCAGCTTTGACGTCATAAGAATTGTTCTGCAACAAACAAATTATGCAATTTAATTGGCCGTCGCAGTACATCTTGAAAGAAAAATAGCATCTCCGATTGAAAGTTAACATTCCATGCATATAGAACCCTCAGAAATATTAAAATACTGGCTATTTGTAAATTGATATTCTGTCGTAATAAAAATAAGGAGCAGTAATAATCGCGTTGTTTAGTGGGTCACTGTCCATGTCCGGTTCATTTTAAGCGTAAAGATGGTGAAAGATAAATTTATGGAAACAAGCTGCAAACTTACCAGGTGTCCTATATGTCTGGAGTGAGGGAAAGGGATGAAATTGTAGCCCTGCAGTCCAGGGTAGGTTAATGGGACCCCAGCAACAGCTGCCACGTGAGGAGGCGGCTGTACCCCCGGTGGGCATCCTAAGACTGATATCTGATATCCAGGTGGCAGGCTTACGTTTCTCCCATGGAAGAAATCTCCAAATCCAGTTTGCGACGCAGGCATCTTCTTCTTTCAGCTTTCACAGTTCTAACGACACAAGCGCTGTTTCGAGCTGTTCATATACTCTGCATGAGATATGGGCGGTGCTACGGCCGTGATTGACAGTCATTCTCATCGTCGCCATCTCTCGTCCAAAATCCCTTCAAAGGCGAGCTCCACTCTTCCTTTTGACGGTTTCTTAAAAGCTCTACATACATGGTAATCATCTCAGACCTATATGTATTATAATGAAACTGATTACAAAACAAGTTTCATTAATTTTTTTTTCCTGAAATAGGCTTTTTGTTTGCCACTTTTTAATTTGTGAAACCAAAATTCTGTTCGTCACGAAGAATATTTTTATTTAAATCAGTAAACATTATTTGTAAACAAAATTAGACGTGATCTAGTTTTGCTTCACAATGTTTGCTAACTTCGTTACGTGGAGCAGTTTCATATATACCGCCGCTCTCTTATTCTTATATTAAATGTTTTGTTTACATTGAAATCATGCATTCCCCTACAACAAATGGAAGAAGATGCCCTTAAGTCAGAGCAAAGACATTTTATTAAATGTTTGAATTACTTTTGAAACTACTATGAAGGAAATTGCTGAGTTATAATTTGTCGGGTTCTAACATTCTAGAAGAAATATTCTGAATGTAGGCTATCAACCCTCGAAATCTTTATCACACGTAACAGGTGAAGTAAAGTTTTGCCTTTATAAAAACAAAAGATTATAGTGTTAAAAGATCAAAATGCAATTAGCAACAGAGATGACTGGTAATCAGAATTAGATTAACACACCAAAAAAAATCACTACTGAAAGTCAATTGAATTAACAAGGTTATTTACAATTATTTCAGCATTTTACAAAGGCTATAGTCTACTATAATTCAATGGGTCCTTAGGTAACAGTTTTATTCTATGCATTAAAACAAGGTTAATATCTGATTTAAAGAATATAAAGACTTTAATATTTGTTTAAATTCGAAACTCCAACAACGAGTCTACGGTATTCCCTAGACAACAGCTAAGATATTTTACTTAATAGTAATTTTTATTTTGCGAAAGAGAGAAAAATGGTTCTTTTATTTTTCATTTGATAAGTGTAATAATATTAGAAATTGTTCAACTGTTTTATTTAATGAAAGAAATGTCAGATGCTGTATACTTTTAATCACAGGACAGCGTTACAATTGCTCTAATTAAAGACGTTTAAGAGAAACAGGTGTTGACTAATGTATATGATAATTACAAGATAACTGATGCTAATGACGGGGAGGTGGCGAATTGTTAAAGACAGCAAAATAAGATTAGTTTTTCTTCTATACATACGAATGCCCTTTTCCACCCCCTCGAAAATGACAATTATTCTGAGTGAATAATGGAGTTTTTTCAACGATTTAACATGTGTCGGGATTCCTAGAGAAAATTGCAGCTTTTGCCGTTATAGACTACATTAAAACTCGACAAAGAAACGGTGTTTCACCGAGCATCTGAATAAGGTTAAATAGTCTGACTGGCGTCATACATGTTTGTAGTGGAAACGCACTATAACCTTGGTTAAGCACTTTATTGAGGATGTGTAAATATTAATTTTCAAAACAGTTGTTTTAAAAATTATATCGACTTTTTGCGGGGATGTTATAGATGTGATCGATATAGGGAAAACGTTATGGAACTTTAAACTTGTAGGCCTATGTGTAATAGGCTACCTTAAAGTGACTTAAGGCTCGAGTTTAGTAAAAGTCAGTATTTCAACAACTTGAGCCGATTGTCTAGATGTATTTCTAAAAATAAAAGCATGCTGTCGGCATCAGCGCTCTTTCCTGTCCTCGGTGGCATTTTAATCTTTAAAAATCGAATTAGGATTTCGCAGAAACAGCTGGGGAAAGAACGACTGGGTCTAAGCACAATGCGAGTTAGATTTCACGTTTAATCTAGGCTGTATTTTAGGTAGCCCAATGCTGTCATCCAAATATGAACTCTGTGGGAAAAAAACTGTGTTGAATGTTCGGCGGAAATCATGTCGACGTAAGAGCCCTGGAGAGGCATGAATTATCTTTAATTAGCAAAATACGTCTTAACACGAACTTTGTTCAGCATAAATATTTGTGCGTAATGGAAGTGTAGTGCAGGGATCACCAACCTTTTTGAAACTATAAGAGCTACTTCATGGGTTCTGAGCCATACTAAGGGCCAGTTTGAAACGCTATAACCTATCTAAACTTCATGTATAATAAACACCTTTTAAATGTTTTGTTTTAGATATTGTCATTTTCAAATCTATATAAATGCAAATGTGATTAAAGAAGAATAGCAAGAGGATAAAATTAAATGTTAGACGCTGCTCACTGGTGAGTTGTGCGATTTTTAGAGCAGGTCCTTGAGGGTGACCCCTGGTGTAGAATCTACGCCAAAATCCCAAATACTCCACCGCTCGCTGGAATTTGGTCACATCGGCTAAATAGATTAAGCTTGGTTTCTTTAAAGTTTTTATTTTCGTACAACAATATTTTTGGTTTGGAAGTGGTTGAAGCTGTTATATTAGAAGTGCAAGACTTTTCGGTTTCATTCCACACTAAACATAATTAAACATAATCAAATTCATTAGAAGAAGCCACTGAGTAACTGGACATCTCTAATTAAGCATACCTTAATGTTAACTGTTTTGCTTCAGAACTTAAAGTATGACGTTTGACTTGTAAATTAGCACTAAATATCTGCAATGGGAGCAATAGTTTGTAAATGCAGGGTTAAAATAACATCTAGCATCCAGTCGGGCACCCAATCAAAACGGCTTCAGCGCACCGCTAGTCGCTGTTGTGCACTGTGGAAAGAGCGTATATGTGCGTATATGTGAATAATACGTAAATATCACAGCACATGGTCTGCGTGCGACAAGGTTGGCGGGGGCGCGGAATCCCCTGATCTAAAGCAAATTTGTTCAGCCTGCACAAAAGGGTGACCCTGAAGCCCAGGGCAGAGGTATTACTCTGATTGTATGTTTTGGGAGGCAAACAGCCCAAGGCTATACGGCTATTGTCCAGAGCAGCAAACCAACTTTCTTTCTTGCTCTACAATGCAGGTGGTGGCTACATTCTGACAAGCTGAGCTGGTACTGTTTACTCTTCAGATTCAGATCCTTCGATCATTATACAGAAAAAAAAATCTTCCAAGCCATACAGAGAACACAGGGTGTGATGTGATGCAAACCAGAATCATCTCCCACATCCAGGCAGGCAATACGCAGTTGCCTGACTCTTCATACTTACATAATCATAATTGGATAATAGATGCTCAAAGCTCAAAGACATATTACAGTTGCAATCAACCAAATAGCCAGTCATTTAACTGAATCCTTGTTACTTATACTGGAATCTGTTCACATCTGTATACATACTGTCTACAACTGTTTAAATCTATGCTCGCCATGCTCACTTTAAGCAGGGACAGTATTTCTATTCACGGATTTCCTGGTATTATGTAATGTGCCTGTTCCTTTTTTGTCTACTGCAGAATGCTTATGTTAGGTAGGCAGGTAGTAGACTTCCCTCTATCTCCCATCCCATTAAATTATTGATATCCATAAGTAAATCTTCATTTGCATTATATGAAATTGTCTTTAGCACTGAAATGGTTATCCTGTCATGAATGTTTCATCATGGTTTCACGAGGATCGCAATTTTCATCCCACTGTGTACTGCGCATAGCTGGGATGACAATAATGCTCACTTGAATCGATTTCTTAGATTCAATATTAGTTTCTCTACCCTAACTCTATTCTTCGTCCATATGATTTTTTCAATACTCTGGTGCGATAAATGACTCTGGCGATGCTCTAATACTTGATACTTTGTTGTGCGGCTTTTTCTTTGTAGGAGCTGGCCGAGGTGAGAGCAGAGAGCCTGCTGCCCATTTAATGACAATAATGACAATTGCCTGAGGGGGGACATCACTTACAGGCTATCACCTGCAATCGCACTGACAAAAGGCTCAAGTACTATACCGTGTTCATTTGTATAGCAATCCCCCATTGCCTCATTGTTTAGCTTCAGCGTAGGTGTGAAAAGGTTATCAGAGAAAAATGTTATCTTTTTTTGTTAGTTTTTACTCTAAATGGGTAAAGTATTAGGAAATACATAATCAGGCCAGGAACAGCATTTGCATTTTAATTAGTTTCTGAAGAAACATGGCATAAAACTCCAATCATTGCCATAAAGGGTTAGTAAATGTAAAGGGTTTCACTCTGTCTGGACACTTGTATGCTTGAATGAACATTTTTTGCCTTCTCTCTGAGTAATGAGGGTATTGGATATTTAACTGTGCTGGGAAAAACCTATAAGCTTTCAGGCCTAGATCCCTCAGACTTTAGGGGAACCCATTTCCATCTGGATCATCAAAACCAAATGTGGAGAGTGGAGATAAGCTATGGGGTCACAACTGGATGTCATGGAATTAGTGTGGGGTTAGAACCAATAACACCCTTAAAGACATTACCAAACCACCAGAGGGCTAGAAACCGAGAAGCGGATGTAAAGGTGATGGCACCACATCTGGTACCTGTGACACTGACAGAAATAAAATGAAAAACATTACGTCCCTTAGAGTACTTAGATAAAAAATAGGCCATAGGCCTGTCAATCAATATTTGTTTCTAAAACCAAAAAAAAGACAATTCCCTCTTTACCTATTGGGATTTATCAGTGGTACAAACACAAATAAAATCATGTCAATAAGGGGTGTGCTATCAGGGATTCCCATCTTCTCCTTGCCTGGGCTCCTCCTTCACCCCCATTCTTGTCACTGCCGTTATCAGATCCACTCCATCACTGGCAGAGGAGCGACACTGAAGTCGCTTGCAAATTTGAGCATGTCTTTGTTAATGGCCCCATGATGGCCCGGCCTCCTATCCCTCCTGGGTCCGTCCTGATTGACGACCCACTGCCGAGTGAGTGACAGGCCGCGTTCATTAGGCCGTGACGGACAGTGTGACAGCTGGGGCGGCCGCAGGATCCACGGCCCACCCGGGGCAGGCGCCGCTTGGGGAGCGGGGGGAGGTGGCCATTGGCAGGGGGTACCATTCTGGGTACCTCGTTAGCCCTGACCGATTCGACATGGTGGGGGAGGGACGGGTGGTATGGTGTGTACGTACTAATGGGGAAAGCAGAACTCCCAGCTGGCCACCCCCAAACCATATCCCACCCCCTGCCTGATTGCTCTACTCCAGCTTTGTAAACTACACAGCCTGCTCAGGAAGGGTTGCCTGCACTGCACACATCCAAGCAGCACAGTGCTGTCTCGGCAGCCCAATCTTCAGGCTCCTTCTGTGCATTGCTGGGTGCTCGCGGCCATATGATGGACTTTCATCAACACTGAATTCAAGATTTCAAGATCTCACCATATAGGATACATGTGTACAAACATTCGTTTACCATGTGCCACATGGCTACAGTGAAATGTGGTTTCTCCAAGGCCAGTGTGGAACTTCTTATGAGGTAAAGATAAGGGATAGTACCTTCACTGAATTTATAAAACCAAACATCAAGAGAACCAGTCACGTCTCAGTTAAGCAGTACATACACTCAACATCCATTTTATTATGGGCCCCTAGGTAGTACCAGGGAGGACCCCCCTTTGTCTCCAGAGCCACTTCAAGGGCTGACGAGCTGTGTTCAGAGGTGCCTTTCTGCACACCACTGAGCTGTTATTTTTGTACCTGTCGCCTTCCTGTTAGCTCTAACGAACCTGGCCTCTCCTCCGACCTCTCTCATTAACGAGGTGTTTTCGGCAACAAAACTGCCACTGGATGGTTTTTATTGCACCATTCTCTGTGAACTCTGGGCACCGTAGTTCGTGGACATCCCAGGAGGCTGGCTTTTTTTTTTTTGATATGCTGGAACCAGCACATCTGGCAGAACAGTCGTACCACATTTCAAGTCACTTAGATCACACATCTTAACCTTCCTACTGCTCAGTTGCACAGTAAGTGAACCTCTTGACCCTGCCTGCATGTTGTATGTATTCAGGTGCTATTTAGACGAGCAGGTGTACCTAATAAACGTGGCCACTGAAACACAGCAATAAAAACTTCCATCTGCTTACCCTGGTCAGGGTTGCAGGCAAATAATGAAAATGGCAATGACCCCAACCAAACATGTTCTATAGCTGATGATCAGACCTGCAAAACCTGTTTATATTTTGTATATTTTGGGATGCTTTGCTTACAGGGCCTGCTTCAGATTTCACCACAGCATTCCAATGTGAATGAAGACTTGCCCATTCTCTTGGGCTTTTTTCTTGCTCTTGCTGATGTTCTTGTGCGTTTGTTTCAGTAGTACTCTGGAAGATGGTCTTCAGATAACTTGAGATACACGGCAATGTTTTTCTGAGAACACTGGATTCCTCCATGGTAAGCTCCGTGAACACCACTATTGTGTTTTTCTTGGTAGATTCATGAACAGAGATGCTGTGAAGTACAAGAGTCGCTTGCAGATCCGTTAATAAAGTATGTGCCTGACTTTCGTAACTATTTCCAGTATTATAAGCTTCAACAATTCTGATCAGCCCATATTGTACATGAGAATATTGTTTTAGAAACAGCAGGTAACCAACATTTTATACGGCTGTGCAGGTCAAATCCACACCTTATTTGACTATAACACCTGACTCCAATTACCCTCTTTTCAAGAGGTCATTATCCAGTGGGGTTCACATACTTTTTCCATCAAACGATTGTTTAAACCATCTGTTCAGTAAGAAATATGTAAAGTATCTCGTGTTTAACTTGTCAAGTGATGTTCTTATGATTCAGACAAAGATCAAATTTTAGGATCCATTCATGAAGTAATCTGGATCATTTCAAAGGAATCACAAACTTTTTCGTACAACTGTATGCAAAGAAGTCGAGCAAGAAGACAAAGAGACATTCAAGGAAATTTACATTCAACGATTTTATGAGGCTATTGCTTGTTTTGTTAGTATGGCCTGGCAGCGAATAACTAATGTACTTGTAAGGTATCTGTGACGTGACATCTACATTTCAAGCCATTTGTAAAACAATGGCTACAAGGAAGCCAGAGGCATTTGGTGCTGTGTCTCTGCACAATACCAAACAAGGCTGGTGGGAGGCTCTGCTTTCATGGAAATGAGCAGCCAAACCAACAATGTAGACCCTAATCTCTTCAGAGAGAAGAATCAGTCACACAGCAGTTTGTGCTTCTCAATGCTTTTCATTATAACCAGCTTCCCCATTGAACCCCACCAACGTCTCCGCCCCCCCAACACCCGCCTAATGTGTTGCCACAGGCTCCCCCCATAGTGGGACCAGATAGAAGGGGATCCAGTACAACAGAAGGGTAGAAGTAAGTAGGGCAGGGGGGGCTAGGCCTCAAAGCACTGGATTAGAGTTAATGTGCCTCCCTAGGTTTATAATCTCTTCAGAGGGGGCTTTGTTTGAGAGCTTGAGGGTGGTAAAATAAGTATCTATTACAGCCACTCCCCTCTTATCCCTTCCAGTCTCCCTTGAAATAAAGCACAAAACACTTGCCGCTGCTTCCCCCCTTCTTCTGATATCTAAAACTGAAAACAAGTGATGCCCCTTTGCAGATAATCTGGAATTAGGGCCTAAAGCCATATGGACGGTCAGCGGCTTCCATATTTGCTCCTTCTGTATCCCTCAAAGTGAAACAGTCTGTGTGGATCAAAGGCAGTTTGAAAAGAAATGAGATTATTGCTGCGAAAAGAAGTAGACTTGCCCCCCCTTGCTCACTTTTTGGTGTGTGTTGGGTGGGGGGGGGGGTGTTTAAAACCAGGCAATCTGATAAAGTCTAATCTTGTTAGATCACCCTTGGGCGTAAAAAAGTCCAATTTCATTAATTAAAAGTCCCCACAACTGAGCCCTGGAGCAGCTTCCAGAGCTGGGGGAGATGTATCCAGGCTTGTCCTTCTGCGGTGCTTATCTTCTCCCAGCACATTAGTATGCCTGAAACGTCTTTTGTGAGTAAAGACTAACAGCAGCTTGCACAAACAGCATTTATCTGCCTTAATCATGCACCTCATCCCACCATATTACTGTTACTTTTAGGAAAGATAACTTCTAGAAGTTAAGTCCTTTTTTGTCCATCACCAGACTGATTTAGTACTCTGGTCCAGGTCCAATTCATAAATGTTAAATATAAAATATTCTGAAAAAAATCCATGAAGGTCCAAGCATGTTTTTTTCTGAAAACAGTTCATCCAAAAAAAATCAAGCTAAATCAGAGGCACATTTAAGCCAGATTATGTTTGTCTTGTCTGTAATGTAGAAGTTACCATGGATCAAAAGTGATAACCGTGAGTGATGCTACTGTAAAAATAATTAATATGACAGAAACAAAACTAAAAGTTTAAGAAGATATTTTAAACCAATAAACTGTACAACAGACATTCAACTATATAACACTTTACATAAAACCAGACATGCCAACAAAAAAAACTGCAACTGAAACATAGGTACTGTATGACTTTAGGATGAACGTTTAGCCTCCTTCAGCACACAAAAAGCTTGCTCCTGTAATATAACAGTGTGACCCACATAAGTACATCACATACTGCAGACAGACAGGTTATTCGTTTTTGATATATAACAAAAAACAAAAACAAAATCATTCAAAAAAGCTAATTTATACATACCATAGGCAAATTTAAAATAATTTCTGTGAATAACTCACTCTTTCCAAAAAGACAGACACAGAGGATCCTGAGGACTGATTTCATACCTTGACAAAAAAGCACAGAAGCGGCAGAGCTGTAGCTAACGCAGTCCACCTGACTCAAACTAGATAAAGCCATTTCAAAGTTCTTAGCAGCAAGAAGTTTGGTACCGGCTGCGCTTGAGCATGGAAGCACATGCGGAAGGCAGAACACAAGAGGCCGCAAAACGCTCAGACATCTTTCCATTAAAGAAAAATTTTAACAGCTAATGAATTTCCCAGCTTATCTGAATTAAATTAAAGATGAATAAAAACTGAATCAAATACCTCAGTTATAAACAACTGAAACAGTTGTCAGCATTTTCACAGATTTACTTATTAATGCGCAAACCTGCTGTGAATTTTTTCATGAAATTCATGTATTCATTTATAGAATTCATATACTGCATTTGTAATTACAAAAGGGTTTAGTGTATTAAGGAATCATTAAATACTGCTGAAGGCCGTGCTGCTAGGAATAACCCTAACCCTAACCATAACCCCCTAACCCTAACCCTAACCCCCTAACCCTAACCCTAACCCTAGCCCTGTGCTGTACTATAACAGGCCGAATTCATGTGATTCCCTTCCCCGCGCGTCCATACTCTCTTTCATGAGTACTTGCATCCTGGGCCCTAGCGGGAGAACTTCCTTGGCCGAAACGGCGGTAGCACTAGCTGATGCGGGGACGACCTCTCCTCGATCACCGTGGGGAGGTCCTCCGCTGAACCCCACTTCTTCTTGTTGTGGAAGAGCGTCACTAGGCGCCGGGTCTTACGTTCTCCCGATTGGGCCACCTGGAGTTCTGGGTAAGGCAGACACCAGCATCAGCAAAGAACAGGTCACATGACTGGATTTATTTGTCACATGACTGGGATTTACATCTGTTCAGAAGATGGCCATCACATATAGAACACGAGTAAGGCAAAACTTTCACTACAATATAGTGTGGTGAAAATTCAAATAAGTGTTGCCGCTATGAACCAATTGGTTTACAATATAAAAAGGAAAATCAATCAGAAGGAATCAGTATTTCTGTATTAAAGCATAGTGCAAAGATGTGAATTTCAACTTTTCTTTAAAAGGTAGATGTTGTTTAACCTGAGCTGCATAAATTTGTAAAGGTGTGAACTCACAAGAAACGCCAAACACACGTACAAGTTTCTGATCTGCTAGGTTTTATGTTTTTACTGCCCAAGAGGTAAAAATTACCCTAATGGGCAAATTTAAAAGCAGTTACCCACATGCTGCCAAAGGGTTGAGCTGTTGATGGCTGAAACTGAAATATTTTAAGTACTAAAACTGATTCAATTTTGTGTGTCATTCTGAAACATGATGGGCCAGTAATGACAGATCTTAACTGTAAGTTCATAGGGCATTTTGTTTTATCAGATGTGTTTAGGGGAAATGACCCATTATTCTGAAAAAAAGGTTTATCATGCATTTATTGCCACAAACATTCAGAAAAAGATTTTTAATTCTTTACAGCATACACTCCAGGAGAGACTTTCCTTTGATTGAATTGCTTGAATAAAACGATCAACTTGTATTAATGAATAAAGGAGTAAAATTTAAGATTCAATACAACAATAAGCAAAGATTAATGCAGGACATTTGGCTTAAATGTTTGTACCTGAAAGCATTATTTTCATTTCAAGTAGAAAACATTCATTAGCAGAACAACTTTCTTCCAGCGATGATTAAACATTGTGCCTACATAAGACCAGAGCCACAGCTGTTAATTAAAAACTGACCATTGCTAAAACCAAAAGCCAGCCATTAATTTGAAGTCGCCGTTTGTGTCACTTTTAAATAGTGTTCTACATCTGGAATTTTCGATAGCGTTAGTTAAAATGAAAGATTATACTAGTGCATTGATTTACTTCTGTGATTTGCTGTACTGGCACTGTGTGCAAAATTATCCAGTGATTCAAGAATTCAACAGTCAGTACCTGCACAGAGAAGTCGAGCTAAGGGTATAGCTTGACTACTCCATTTAAATCAGACTACTGTCCTTGTCCCAGGGTACATGCATGGGAGGGGAATCGATTTATTGGCCACAGAATGTCCAACTCCGCTACAATAGGTGGTGATATAGCTCCTTTCAGCTTGTTAGTATTGTTAGTGCCGTGGTGTAAATGCATGTTAGCTAATAAACTAGACCCTACTGCAATGCATATGTAAAGGAAAAACAGCAGAGGCTGAGAAAACTAACCTGGTTCGCTGTCCTCTTCCCCTGGCTCCCTTGGGTTAAGGTAGTGATAGGCAAGGCGTCCACTGTAGTCCCGCAGATTCTCCTTTGCACCTGTAAAGGACAAAGGATGATGGTCCAACAAGACCCTGTATCATCAGGCCTCACCTGAGCTGCTCTTCATTTTCTGTGCGTCCCTGTCACACGGGCTTATTGCAGTGTTTCTCAACCCAGTCCTTGCGGACCCACAGCCAGTCCACAATTTTTTCTCCCTCTCAGCTCCCAGCCAATGAAGAACACCGAATACGCGGTATAGGTAGGCGGGAAGCTGGGAGGGAGCAAAAATGTGGACTGGCTGAGGGTCCCTGACGACCGGGTCGAGAAACACTTAATGGGAAGCTGAGCAGAGATGAGCTCTGAGAGGCTGTCACAACATTTTTTTTTGCCTGTGTGTTGTGTCTGTGTGTGCTTAAGTATGGCTATATTTGTGGGGATTCGAAATTTTACGTAATTAACGATAAATAACCCAACACCAACAAAACTCCAAAAAAACAATAACAAAGGGAAAGGTTGGACACTGTCTTACAGTCTAATAACTTCATCATCATTCAGATTTTGCTATTTTGCCAATAAGTGGCTTTCATTTTCCTCAAAGACATTTCAAAAGAGGAATGCAAAATAAATTTGTAGTCGTATTTCAAATTATTTAAAATATATGACTGTGAAAATCTGCAAGCAGTCAAGCCCAACCCAAGCCTCCCAGTGTTGCCCATTACCATAGCTCATGACGAGTAGGTCCATGATGTGATGATGACCGTGTAGGGCAGCTATGTGCAGGGGGGTGTACCCCTGCAATATCGACGGAAACAAAACATGCTTTCACTATACCCGCAAGACAACTGCTAAATCAACATCACACAACATGGGGCCTAATGGTAACAAACAACATTCAGATAATCAGGAATAATAGCCACCTATAAATGTAATTCATACACTTCTGTAAGGATACTGAGAGAGCAGCTGTCAAAAGCAGTACAGCCTGTAGATCACTGGTACTCAACTGGCAGGTCACAACCCAAACATGGGTAGTGGGACCATTTTCATTGGGTCGTAGTGTGTGTGGTTAAAAAATATATATTTTTAACATTTTTTATAAAGTGTAACTTTTATTTTTTAACAGCGCGTGAAGGTATTATGCTACTGTTATTGCACTATTTTTGGGTAACAAATTTGGTTCAAAATCGTAAAAAATTGGATCGTGAGGTCCTGAGGCTAAAGCAGTTGAGACCCACTGGTCGAGAGATCTGTTATTGTATGATAGGGGTCAGATGCAGAAGGGAGACATAGGGACTGCACACTGTGTGGCACCGTGGAATACAGCCCCTAAAACAGAGGCAGAGACATGCAATGCCTTGTGTACTCACACCCTGGTAGACCCCAAAGAGCCCATCAGAACGGCAGCAGAAACAAAAATACGAGCAGGAGAGTAGAAGACAGACAAGAGCACCAAATGAATAAGGTTACAAAAACAAGACACTGACAAATTGATTGGTATTCTTTGAAGAAATTGCTTTAAAGCATGACAGAGAAATTGTGCTTATTATGAATATTGTTACAGGGAAGCAGTTGGCATATTCACACACTGTTTATGTTGCCAGTGCCTTTGTTTAGAGCAATATCCTACAGTGGTGCATCTTCTGAAAGTTATTACAGGGCTGCTATTAAGCAATTACATCCACCATTCCTGTAAAATGCAGAAAGATAGTCTTTGTGCACGGCACACAGCAATATCGAGGGTACTCACGTGCTATGGAATCCGAAGATCGAGTGAGGAGAAAAAAACAAATTTGAATTAGTTGACTGTTGAATGTTATCTGAACATCTTGTTATCTACAGCTCAGCACTGAAATGGTTTGCTGGCTCAGATGTCAATAAAAAAAAAAAAACATATACATCTGATTGGATGACTGGACTGAGTGGCCCACCCACATGGATACTCACAGCCTTGGTGTTGACATCGGCCCCGGAATTGGCCATCATGGCCGCCATCTCCTTCATTCCGTGCTTAGCTGCCCAGTGTAGCGCGGTCTGTGGATGATGGGGAGAATGGAAAAGATTCAGCAACTGGCACACACACACA